GCGTTAAAAATTCCTGGGATGTAAGGTTGACCACAGACAGGGCGGCTTGCGCCGCGTCGGCTGCCGCGTGGACATGAGGCGATTTAACAGTGGCAGTAGTTTTGCCATTGTATTCGTTGTTCTTAAATTTAGTCGAGTTTTGGACATAAAATGGTATAATGATGTCTCTAGAATCATCTAGTGCAAGTGATGACGATTTTTTTTACAATAAGTCCAAGTTTACTTCATATTAGATCAAAGAAGAAGAAGAAACGCAGGTATTGGATACATCCTATAGTAAATTAATGATAAAATAAAGGAATGTTTTATACGTTAGTTAAATGAAATTAAAGATGGCCCAGTAAAAGCATCTTACAAACTAAAACTGTGGTTAACCTCTTCCCAAGCAGGTTTTTTTCTTTATTTTGTTCAAATAATTATCTGAGTGCATATCCCAAATTGCTGGCCATGTGTGAATCTCGGTAATTAATTTATCGATGTCTACAACTTTCGTAATACATACAAAATCTGGCAAACACTTACAAAAGTAATCAAATAAAACCGTTGCAAAACAGTCACACGTCTGTATTGAAGCACGAGATATATATTACTAATGTGCCGCCAGAAGTCATAAAACCGCCGAAGGCGTATGGTACTCAGCATAGGCCGCGCGTGCTGACAAACCACGGCTCGTCTGTGTTTCACAACGTAAGTACCATAGACGAGAGACCGCTTTCAACGGTGGCCGCCGCGCCTGTCTGTGTTTAACATCAAGAATAGTGATGCGCCACATATAACACCATTCTCCAAATGGTCTTCTTCACAGTCGGTAAGTGAGAGAGCACCTTCTTATTTTAGAAATGGAAAATAATTTCTAAAGGCGGAGGAAACAGAAATGGTCAACGGCATGAAGGTGCCTAAGGTAACTGGAAACCAATACATTAAAGGCTCCATGAAACTCGGAAAACAAGATCTGACAGAAGAGCAAAATCACAAGATTGCACGAGACCGGTCGTCAACATGCGAAAACCTTGCAAAGTACCGGCTTGGAATGTTATAAGTCTACATCAAGCTGCAAAAATGCATAATGCAGTTAAAGAAATAAAAAGACTGAATGTAGATATTCAGATAGAGATTAACGACGTCCAATGGCCCGATTCAGAAAAGATGAAAATTAACAATAAAACAATATATTATTCCAAGACGGTTCACACAGAATTATGCTAATACGATTAAATCAGAACAAACCCGAAATAAACATATAAGTTTATGCTCCAACTGCGGACAAACCAAAGAGCGATATTGAAACTTTCTACGAAGGCATAGATAATATTTTAAAATGCATTAAAACGTAGTATGTTACAATTATAATAGTATATTTTAACGCAAAGGTTTAACCAAAAAGAAGACTACACGTAGAAGTCACCAGCACATCAAGAAGAGAGGATTACATATAAGAAACCAAATAGATTATGTATTAGTTAGACAAAGAGACAGGAATGTCATTATATAAAAATACAAACGCTAAAGACTGCAGTGAATATAGGACAATATCATGAATATTATGATAATTAATAATAAATCATTTATGTTCTCAAATTATTCTTGAAAATAATACATGGTCGTCTACATAAAAAAAGGAAAGAAGAAATATATGATAATCGGTTTGATAGCTCAAGAACACATAACGAAGCTACATTCATTCAAAATTTGGTATTACAGAAGGAGGCTTAGAATCGAATGGACACAAAACAAAAAACGAACACTGAAGTATTCTGAGAAATGGACAAAGAACAAGAAATAACAAACAATAAGATTAATAATGCAGGTAGAGATAAGAGGAGGAAGGAGTATGGAAAGAAGACTGTCATGGTTTAAAAATTTAAAGGACTGGTTTAAAAATAAAGTTCAATAGAACTCTTCAGACCAGCAGCGGTAGATAGAGTGAAGATATTAATGATGAGATCCAACCTCCGATCTGGAGACGGCCCTTAAAAAAGAAGAAAATTCCTTTTCGCGACTTATTTTGTAAGCACGTTTATTCTGAGTTCATACTCTTGAGCCTAAGGTATACAAGGAAGATAACGGGGCCAGTGCTACACTTCAACCGCCTATCATTACCGCTGGTTTTACCCAAGGTAATGATGAAATAGTTGTTGACATTGATGATCGACAAAATTTCCAGCAATTTGTTGTTACTATTGTGTTACACTAAATACCATTTTTGAAAATTGTAGATAAAATTTGCAGGAAATTGTTATTGTTGTCCAAAGATTTTTTTATTAAAAATATACAAATTTCTCTCTATAGTCAGGTTGTTTTGAACATATGATTAGCAAATCATTTGGTAGGTACATATAAAAACTGTTATTGGTCAAAATGATGGCTGATCTATCGAAAATTCAAATCCACCAATATAGTTTTGATAGTTACCAACTAAATAGGAGTTTTGAATAATCTATGTTAGATTCAAATACTAACTATAGAAACATAAGGATCTGAAAAGTATTCAAATAATTTTTAAAAATGCATCTTTTTCATGAGACTTTTACTAACTAAGCTGGTAAAAATGATTTCATAAGCCCCATTGCAAGAAGCATAATTAGTTGATAGCAGTGATGTTGTATTTTAAAAGTCACTTTTGATCCGGCTTTTGGTAAAGAAAAGTATTTTTGATTCTTCAAAAGAATCAGATGAATGGCAGTCAACCTTAATTCAAAAAAAACAATACCAAATGTACTTTGATCAAATAAAAGGCAGATATCGAGCACAGTTTTATTAATTAAATCTTGCCTAAGTACTTTCGCTTCCTAGAGCATCTTCAAGAAGCGAAAGTACTTGGGCAAGATTTAATTAATAAAACTGTTCTCGATATCTCGATATCTGCCTTTTATTTGATCAAAGTTCATGTATTCGAGCATTCAACCTTATATCAATGCCAAATATGACATTCCAGGTATTTTAATATGTCTAAACGCAGTTGTAACAAAATAAATTGCGTACTTCACAGTGAAAAAAACTTTACTAATATAATTCTTTAACGTAAATATAACACCTTCAATATATTAACATTGTTAATATATTACATATTGAAACGAATTTGTCATTTTAACTGACAAAAACCACATGTTTAAGTCGAGGAAAGAAACATGTTGCTCTTTAAGTATTAAAATCTTTATCCAATGTCCAGTAACCAGTATTATATAACGATAACCATAACGATGCACGTCATCGGCGTCATCGCCTGTTGCGTCACATGATACCAACACAAAATATTTAGGGTGTAGGTGTGTTCTTTTTTGGAACCACTTTACCGAGTACACTGACATTACAGCCACTAGATATATTTTATTATATACGCGTAGAAATCATATTTAAAAATTTCTATTAATGTTAACTTGAAGAAATACACAATAATATGTTTCATTTAATTTGTATAAATGCATTATAAAGCGTTTTTATCAAGAACATTTGTTCGGAACACACTGTAACTGTAATCGAACGAAGGTAAAATTTTGGCATAAATTGGTAACACTTATTTGACAGTTGCGGTGTTGACACTTTTTGTACTTCATTATTTTGAATCTTAAAGTGAATATCTCTTGTTTTATATTTTTAACTATCTAATAAAATCTGTTCTTTTTAGAACAAAATTAGTGTGTTTTATTTCAAAAATGTCACGTAAGAATTTAAATAGTCATTGTAAAGAGATGGTAATACTTTTGCAATAATTATGTAATCTATTTGATTTAAAATGGAGTCAGGATTTTTTTATACTTTGGCAACTATGTCAACTTCGCTCTCTGACGTAGATAATGACGTAAGACGTTATCTAAATTAGATGAAGTATAAGTCAGTAACATATAGAGGATACATAATGTATGTTTTTTTAAATAACAAACATAAAATCAGAATTTGATGTTTATTGAAGGTAAACTAAATGCACGACCAAATACTTACCATGTCGGGATAGTATTATGAGGTTTTTTTCCTGGTGTTTCCCTCATAATTTACTATGGAATCACTGACAGGAGAATTTTACTGTCATCATGGCATGTGTTTGTCTTTTAGACAAACGAATTAGATGCTATAATTTTTTCTGAAGGATATTCTCAAGTTAAAGTTGATTTCATGTAATTGAATGTACTATCTTATAAGTAAAGTCGTCCCAGGAGCGTAACTTAACAATATTGGCAATATCATTTTAAAGTCGTCTACTTTAAAATGCATAATGTATTGAATCAGAATTGTCAATATAAATTAGTCAGATAAAATTAAATTATTAGAAGAATTTTTCACTAAGTAACAAAAAAACAAAATTTGTTTAATTTACTGTTTGTATTTTAAGAACGATTTTCGAAGTGGAAATTGAAACCTTGAATTGTGGCTTATTCCCAGTTAAATAGTAATTTATTTTGATTTCAGGTGGAAGCGATTTTCAAAATGCAATAATAAATATCAACGAAACAAACTTTCTCAGTTTGTTATATTGGAAACTAAAAAAACTAATTCTACTTCAGGATTTAGTCCTACTTGATTTAGTTTCAAATAAAAAATACAATTAATAGTTTATTCCTAAAAATATGATTGGTCATGGGTTTCATGTCAGGCTCTATTGTAAACAGGAACAAACAAAATAGAAAAAACTAAAGAATATGATACATTATTGTCATGCCAAAAATATAATAATAATACTGTTACTGAGTATTATAATTATTAAAGGAAGGCAACTCTTTCTATGAAGCCATAATGTCTTTCTTGGCATTTTTATATTAAAGTACTCTATTAGATCATTAATATTTCACTAAACTTTAAAATAAATTTAGTTTTATCAAATAGTTTGGTAGCTATGTGTGTACACAAATATTTCCAATTTTACTGCTCTTTTAAAATTACTCTTCTTTATCAAAAACCATTTTATTTTAACATTTAAAATAAAGCCATCACTGCAGAAACTAGTATATTAGCTTGCTGCATTTAGCATCTTACAATGTATAAGTAATTATTAAACTGAAAATTACCAGCAAAATCAGCTACATTAGGATCAGTGTGTTGTGCAAGCAATTTGCAAACTTGATCAACATCACCCTTAATAGCTGCTAAATGCAATGGAGTTTCACCTCTTTCATTCCTTTCTCTAGTTCGCGAAGAACTCGAACTTGGACTTCTCGAACCCAACTCATTGCCTGAAGTCATCTGCATCAGCAGCGCCATCTGTTGCCTCTCGGACATTGGGGCTACCGATTGAGCCCTGCTGCCTGTATTTGAGCCCTTAGGTCTGACTGGTCCAGGCATTTTTGGAACATTAAAATTCTTCTTTTATCTAAAATTAATTTTAATTGGTTTATTATAAGATACAATTTTATTATAACTAAATTAGATTTTACATAATGTTATTATGATCTATAAATGACATTTAATGGAGGTGAAAGAAAATTGATTTGAAGAATTTAAGGAAACAATTAACCCTCATCAAATTACTATATGGCAGAGCCCAAAACATATTTTGGGAAATACTAGTTGTAGAAAAAAGATTTTTAAAATACCTACACCAGTTAAGGACAACTACAACTCCTGAAATATTTTAACATTAAATTAGATTTTTTTTATGTTTTTAAATAATTTAAAATAAAATAAGAAATATTTCTGTGCTTTTTGCGAAATTTATACAGAAGCTCAATTGTGGCTTCTTCTACAATTATTAGAGGTAATTTAAAGTTCTATAATTTATTTATTCATTTAAAAATACAAAAAATTATAAAAAGTAGCTACATGTACAATAAATATTAAAACAATAACAATGAAACTTAAGTTGCATTTTGAAAACATTAATGTTTGGCAAAAGCTGAGCATTTTTAACAAGGGAAAATGACAGGAAAATAACATATAAGCTCTCAACCTACGGTTCTTCAGTATAGCAATGTTAAATTGAGACATTATTACAGAATAATGTATGAAGTAATGTTCAGTATTTCATATATTAATATGTGCTTTAAAAGTTAAGGATCTTAGAAACTTCCACTGAATGTTCTCCAATCCATCAATGTAGACTCAATGAAATGGAGATCAAAGCTAAATATTCATTTAAAACTTGATAATTATATTTTTTAAATAATGATAGAAGACATCATATTTAAAAAACAAATTTAAATTGGCTACATGTAACAATCTAGTGTAAACTGAATGATGTTGCAACATATTCAATAGAATATCAGTTGAAAACAACACAAACGCATCACTCTGAGTACAGAAAAAGTAAAAAGCATTTAAAAATTTAGTTATATCAGAACATTTCAAAGTAAATCAGTAATGAAAAAAGTGTTGTTTTTATTTAAGTTTTCCATTTTACATCTTTATATGACACATACAAGTGGCTCAAATTGTTTTTAACAAGATTTTTTTAGCTCTTGTTTTGTTAATTACATTTTTACATTAAATTTACATTTAATTACATTAAATATTAATTTGTTTGTTGTATAATCTACTTTTGCAATAATTATGTGACATATTTGATTTAAAATGGATTCAGGATTTTTTATACTTTGGCAACTATGTAAACTTCGATCTCTGTCAATGATAATCATGTGCAACTGTAAGTAAATTAGATGAAGTATATTCACTTGTTGTTGAGTGAATTTGGTTGAATGCTGAGGAGTAATGTCCAGCATAAACCAAGCATAACAAGAATTTTCTGAAAGATACTGGCATTTACACTCCATAACATTATCCGAACCTATCTTATAAGTAGAAATAAACTTGGTTTGCTGCTAAATATTTACAAATATCTATATATAAATAATAACAAAACTTATGATTTTACATCATTTGCTAAATGTCTACCCTATAGATTGCTAAAAATGCAACCTTATAAATATAAGGGTAATAGTTGAAGAGAATGGATTAGCTTGATCTATAGCATGAAAATGTTATGTTGCAATGGCTCTGTAGGTCTAGAATTATGCAGCTATAGTTTATAATAGTCTGTGACTCTAGTGGCTTAACAAGAGTAGATCCCTTGGTCTAACTTGTACAAATACGCGAATTGTATAGACATAAAAGCAGAACTAGGCTCTTTTTTCGAGAATGCCTACGTCAGATGGTTGATAAGGCATTGCAAGCTGAAAACATTTACAGTTAGCAGAATAATAATTAGGTGAGTTGGAAGGTATCTGGTTAACGTTAAATGTGTATTATATAAGAATAGTTGGAAAGCTATTAAAAGTTTTTTAAATATAAATTTCTACAGGAGTTACAAAAGCGATATTTTACTTATTCTAACTGTTTTAAAGGTGAGCATTGTTTACATAACCTCTAAATAAGAGATTTAATTTATATAATTTCTCAATTATCAAACTGTAAATTGAAGTTATTTAAAATTGTGTTTATTTTAACAAACATTATTCTTTACCTTTCGTAAATTAAACTAATTATTGCTTTCAACAATATTTACATGTTATTAATCAACAACTGATCACAAAACACTATTTATTGACAACTGACACGTACGTCTTCACTCTTCAGTCTTCACAGACTGAGTAAAACTATTAGCACAGATTAAATATTCTGTGCTATTAATGTTTTTTCTAAAAATTAACCAAAATAAACCAAAATTGAAATTAAAATAAGACAAAAATATATTTATATAGATTATTTGCACTTTTTGTAAACAACTTGAACCTTTGATTCAAGTTAACCTGTGTTTCCACTACATCGCCGAACACTAAACGAAGTAATAAGAAGATGAAGAGAATAAGAGAAGAATTCCAACATAATCCTAACCTAACCTAAAGTATTGTTTATAATACAAATAGTAAATACTCTTTTACAACATTTGTTTGTAGAAAAACACCAACAATGCCGTTACCAGCGGCATTAGCTGCAAAATTAAGCAAACGAGGAATTATTCAAGGTAATATAACATTCTACCTGGATAGCTTGTGTACATTATCTTCATTTATAATAAGACAATATTAGGGTAGTAAAGGGTTTCAAAGTAAAAATTAACCATTTTAGCCACAGTTTATTACTTTTATGTTACTGAGTTTATAACTCAGTGAAGGGTCACAAAAAGTGGAAATAACTAACTAAGAACTCCAGTCCACTGATTCCCAAGTTTACATCAATAGAATTTGTGATAATAGAATATGTATTTATTATTTTTCTAGGAAAACAAAAGTCTAATGAACCTAATAAAAAGCAAGACTTTAAAGGCTCATCAACTTGTCCCAATAAATCAAATATCTACCATGAATGTACATTATGGTGTGAAACTCATTGGAAGGGAGTACAAACACCTGATTCAAAATATTTTAGAAATTTGCAAAAGTTATTAGTGAAATACCCTTTGCCATCAAATTGGACTGAAATATTTGACAAAGGAACGTAAGTATTACTCTTGTTTTATTGAAATACACTCATCACATAAAGTATGACATAAATGTATTAAGTCTAGAAATTTTGATTAGTATCTCCTAATTTTTGTTTTTTTTTGTTCCAAATATCTTGAAATATTTCTTAAAAGATCAAAATTTGCAGAGGCCATATGTAATTTGTATTTCCACCATTAGATATGAGAGGATAATAAAAGCAAAGGATGATAGAATTTTAGAAGCAAAGATGACACTCCTTCTTTTAAAGGAAGAGGCTGAGCAGTGGCTAAACAGAGAATGTTAATTTTGTTGTTCTCCATTCTGTATCATCTTCCTTTATTGATGCTTTTTATGACTTCATCCATGATTAGATTGAATAGCACAGGGCTTAGTGAATCCCCCTATCTTATTCCATTGCCTGTATCTATAGGTTCCGTAATTTGTCCATCTATTCTGTTATCATAAATTATTTGAATATAGAAATTAACAAACTCTGTTCTTTTTTTACAGAGGACGATATTATTACTGGAATATGGAGAATGATCTTGTTTCTTGGCTTCCCCCAAAGCACCCACAATCCGTGAAAGGACAAAGTGCGGCAAAACTTCGTGAAAATCGTCTGAAAATGAAAGAACGGGAAGAGCGCATGGAAAAAGAGAAAGAAAACGAAAAACGCGAGAAGGAAAGGGATCGTGAAAGAGAACGAGAAAGGGAGAGAGATCGGGACAGAAGTTCGGATGAGGAAGAGAGAAATCATCGAAGAAGAGAACGCGAACGAGAGCGGGAAAGGGAAAAGGAGAGGGAGAGAGAAGAAAGAAAGCGAAGGAGGGAAGAAAGACACAAAAAGAGAAAAGATGAGATTGATCCTATGGATCCTGCTGCTTATTCTGATATTCCACAAGGTAATATTATACATATAATGTATATTTCAGGCAATGGTTCTTTCCGGGCATTGAACATAACTCATAATATATTTGGCACTTGATATAACATTAACGTATTGACAGTGTTGCCATATCCTCAATTATTTCTTTCTCTCACATCTAAAATTCAAAATCGGGCAAGAGCACATATTGTATCAATTCATCATCATCTTGGTGCTATAGCCCTTAGAGGGCCTCGACCTCCTCAAGCTTTCTACGCCATTCTGTTGTGTCCCTTGCTTGCATTTTCCAGTTGCCGACTCCGATCTTCTCGGCATCTTGTGTTACCCCGTCCATCCACTTTAGCTTTGGTCTACCCCGTCTTCTCATTCCCACAGGTTGCGCTGTTAGAATCTTTTTGATCATGTTCAATTCAGGGGCCTGGGCTACATGTCCTGCCCACTGCAGGCAGTTTCGCTTAATTATAGTGGTAATATCTTTACCACCAAACGTATGCTTATAGATATTCTGCAGTTCAAAGTTATATCTACGCCTCGATATTCCTTTCTCACAGACCGCTCCGAAAATCTTGCGTAGCACCTTTCTTTCTTAAATCGATAGAGCCGATTCATCTGTTTCAGTTAGCATCTATTCCTCTGATTCATATGTGAGAATGAGGACTATCAGTGTTCTATACAGCCTTATACGAGTTTTTTTAGACAGACATTTGTTAGCTAAGTACTTTGATATACCATGATAACACCTGTTTGCAATTATCATTCGCCTTTTTATTTCCTCAGATGTGTTATTATTGGGCTTAACCGATGCCCCTAGATATATGAACTCTTTGACTGCTTTGAAGTTTTGGTCATTGATGATTAAATCTTCGTCAACATTTCCAGCTCTTATATTTGTGTTAGTCGCCATGAATTTGGTTTTATTTTGATTTATATGTAACCCCATTCGTTCTGCTGCAGCTACTAGCTCAGTTAGGATTTCCGCAGTTCTCGCCCTGGTTCTTGTTATAACGTCCACATCCTCTGCATATGCTAGAATTTTAACTGATCTATTAAATATTGTTCCCTGCTATCTAAATTAGCGTCTCGTACAACTTTTTCTAAGGCGACATTAAAAAGCTGACACGCCAGCGCATCTCCCTGCCTTAATCCCCTATGTATTTCAAATGGGGTTGATGAGTCGTTTTGAATTTTTACTGATGATAGCATCTTCGCCATTGTCACTTTTATCAAACATATGAGTTTTTTGGAATTCCTAACTCATTCATAGCGTTGTAAAGACTTGGTCTTAAGATATTGTCATATGCTGCTTTAAAATCGACAAAAATATGATACATATCTATGTTAAACTCTTGCGCTTTTTCGAGGATCTGTCGTAGTGTAAAGATCTGGTTAATGGTTGAACGTCCACGCCTGAATCCTGCTTGATATTCTCCTAAAGACGTTTCGGTATAAGGCTTCAATATCTCGTGCAAAATGTTTGACAATATCTTGTATGCTGTATTTACGAGAGTTATTCCGCGGTAATTGTTTCATTGCAGTTGGTTTCCCTTTTTGTGGAACAGGCAAATTAAGTCTAAGCTCCATTCTTCAGGCATTTGCTCCTCAGACCACATTTTACAAACAATTTCTCGCATCACCTTGGTAAGCTGCTCTCCACCGTGCTTGTATCAATTAAAAATCGAAAACAAACAAAAACATATCAGTTTACATACATTACCTTAAAAATGGCATAAATTTGCAGTTAAAAAAATACATATAATAAAAAGCATTAAAATATTTTGTTATCAAACAATACAAACACTTCGACTGCACTTGACTGTTTTGAGGTTTCTGGCTCCGGTGCCAAATATATCCGCTAATGTATCAAAGGTGAATTGTCAAAAATAGTTTTTTTTTGAGATGGAATCTTCTAAAAGACCGTCTGGGATCGGGTGTCAGCCTTTCACCCAGGTGTGTCGGATTCAATCTCTCACACTTCACCGCGTGACGAGACCGCCTACCGACTGAATCACCCCCTCTTTCTCCGACCGACGGGCCCGGAACCACTCTTAAGGTCGTTCAGTCACATCAGTCACGTCTCGTCACAGTCCTGGCGCCGAACCGAACAATCCGTCATACAAAATATTCTTTAAAAGAAATATGGCGCCGGCATTCACATTCATCAGTTGACGAACAGTTTGCCAGCTGTCAGATAGTTGATAGTTCTGTGACCAAACAGGACCGGTTCGGCGCCGAGACTGTGACGGGACTGATGTGTCTGAAACGACCTTTAGCGAGCATATCTGGCACATCAGCCTTACTCTTAACTTCCCTCTGGCACTCTTCTCGTGCATTACATAGACTTGACAGCCTCTCCCACCCGCATAAGGCCCGGACGAGACTGGTCGGTGAAGCTACCGTCCTGCTCAATTCTTATGCCGGCGAGACAGCCAGGTTGCCCCCCTTCTACATTGGAACTAACGAGTAGAACCAGTTGGCCAAAAATAATTTACAATATTTAGCTACATTTAATGTAAAAAAAAAGAATAATTTATGAATGCTGTTTTATATAAATTCAAAAATTTGAATATCTTTGAACAATTTGAATTTTCAATATCTTTATATTTTAAACATACGTAACATACAAAAGAATATGGCAACACTGTTATGCACAACCAAATATTTAGTTTTACGGAAGACAGTAGGTTATGTTCAATGCCAGGAAATAATCAACTGCCTATATTTCGATTTTAATGGCCTTATTAACAATAAATAATCCAAGTGATGGCTCATTAAGATTCATAATTATATTAATTCTTATTAATAATACTATTAAGATTCATAATTTTCGTGATAAATACCATCTTCGTAATCCTCTTGTTCCTTTGTTTTTGGAAAAGATTCTGTTTATTTTGCATTCATCTGTATCAGTATGAAGATTATATATCTTCAGATACCACCGAGTTTCTTCTATTTAAAGAACACGGCTCTATGTAGAATTTTTTTAATATTTATATTCACGACCCTTTTTTAGGTGGATGGAGTGACGGTTTGGAAAATAACAAAAGAGCAGATAATACAGCATCTGGTGTTCTATATCAACAAAGACCATACCCTGCACCGGGAGAAGTTTTAGCGGCTAATAAGGACAAGACAAAAAAAGATAAATGAATTTTGTATAACAATAAATTATAAAGTAACAAAACTAGGAATTGTTTTATTTCTTAAACTGTAGATAAAGGGGGTTTTTACCACGAAGACACCGTGGCTACAATGCAACAATCATGTGAGCGTGAGGTGCAAAAGCGCAGCCTCCCTGTTATTATTATTATTTCCACCCCAGTATTATTTCCACAATTGAATCAATCATTAGAAAAAAACCATTGATGGTGCTTCATTTATTTATAATTCTGTTATAGCGTGTATCACTCTTACATTCTCCATATCGACACCGTTATTGCTTTTCGTACAGATATAATAATATTCGATTAAAAACATTTATTTTTTTTTTATCTGTGTTCACAGGTACTGTAACGTGTTTGTTTTTGTTGGTGGTCTTGAAGGAGTCGACTATAAATGGCAGGTTTATGTTATTCATGATCTTTTTGTACTCGTCTGTTAGGTCATTTATTCGTCGAAGTTGAGAAGGTGGTATGTGAATTATCACAGGTAGCTAATATGTGGGGGGTTGGTTCAATTTTAATAACATCAGCAATAATTCTCATAATGTTGCTTAGTTGAGTATCCATTGTATGTACGTGAGGGCTATTTAGTCATGCTTAAAGCACTGATGAATAAGCTTGCCCGCTTTTACCCTATTGAATGCAATAAGACATTCAACATATAATGTATCTTTTAATTGGTTTACAGTTACAATTGCTTTTTAAAAAATAAAAAAACAATGTCGGGATGGATGGACAAATATGGATGCTTTATATTTATTAGAAGAAAAACTGGAAGCTAAAAATGCTGTTAAATTTAATGCAAAATTTAAGGTTAACACTTCCAGTAAACCTATTGTTAAAAGTACTGATTTGAATATAAATGGCCAAAAAGAAGGTAAAAATACATTTTACTCTGACTTCCTTCCAAATCAGTTCAAACTGATGAAAGAAATAACTATAAGTAATTCGCTTAGTTCTGCAATTGTTCAAGCTCAGACGCAAGAGCTTCAAAAGCCGACTTATGAAATGACTTCCAATCAGATTTGTACTCAAGATGTAATAGGCCAGCCTCTCTTAAAAATTTGTTACCAGCACAAACAGTCACTTACTCCAGAACAAAATTCGATTACTGAAACTGTAATATCTGCATCTCCTGTGCTTCTTAACATTTCTCCACCACAAATATTGCAAGAATCCAATATTTTGGTTTCAAGTCAAGCTCTACATACACAAACTGTTTTAGCCTCTGCTCCAATTCTGACAACTGTCAATTTATCTCCATTAGTTATTGAAAACTTAACTCCAGTACCGCCTTCTTGCGGTGTACTAGTGGAATTGGCAAATATACCTCTCCCAACTCGTATACAGGTCATTAAACTCTCTATTTAAGCTCAGAGTATATTCACTCCCACTTTCTTACATTTGAATAAAATTCCAACACAAAAATCTATCGACTTATTATCAATTGCAACACCTTGTGAAGAAGGTAGTATACCTGCCGATTTTTGAAAATCATCTCCTCCGGATAAGTCCAAACCTTTTACACTAATACACGAAAATCAAATACTCTTCTTACAGCCTTTCTACTGACACGGCTGCCATCAAAGTTCTCTCAAGACAAACTGTTCTTACTTATACCGCCCCACAATCTAATTCATTAGATTCAGTCGAACCTGCATTTTCTTCTGCTAGTTATCTTAGTTTTTACAACAATGTCCGTAATATATACCGGTTTACCCTCGTTCTCGAAGTAACTATTTGCTACCCTATCCCAGTGACGTAACTCTTCTCGCCCGCCCCCAGTATGTTCAATTTTTTCACATGCGAAAAATCATGTCATTTTTTCTCTGTATTACTAACTATCCTTCTATCACTATTTTACAATCACTACCTTAGTCCAACCCTTGATAACCCTTCCTATTCCATTTCAACCTTTCCTCCTTTAGAAATACAGAGTTTTAAAATAGCAAACAAGAAGACGACCTCTCTTGCCTGTTGCCTATCAGGAGGAATAGTCGCTGACTCTTGCCCGTTACCTATCGCTGAAAACAGACGCTCTCTCTTTCCTGTTGACTATCGTTAGTAACAGTGGTATTCTCTCTACTGTTGACTGCCGCTAACAACATTTTTTCTCTCCCGCTTATAGTTACGCGAAAAATACCGCACATACTGTTTTAAATCGTATACTGACGCAAATGTGCTCTATCTCGTGATCTTAGTGTTAGTACCGCGAGACACGTGTGCAGAAACCGGTACCCGGACAGCTTCCCCGTATTAAGAACAACCGCGAGTGAAAGCCTGTAAATACCACGAGTGTGTGCAGCAGCAGAAATGGTAAGACTTTGTATAAACGTAATTTGCTACAATCTATATAACCCTTTACTACACATCCTAATTTATTTCAACTAGCCCTGTAATACAGTCTTCATATACTGAAATTATATTCTTAATTTCGCATATGTACACCCTTTTTGTACACTCACCTTTCTGGATACTTCGGAGAAGTAAAAGAACTTTCATTTCATTTCGAACATGTAATTTTACAATTTTTAACGGCACATATGTATCCACAACTTTTATTTTTTCACGTGTATTCACTTTACTTGCCGTAAACCGTGCAATATACAAATATTCAGGAGTATCTTATCCTTTGTATTTGTTTACTAGTTATGTGAAAATTAAAAATAAACCAGTTATGAATGACATTTGCTTTTCTAGTAATTTTCCACTCAATTAATAAATTCCGTTATCAGTTGTTTGTTGATTTCACAGCTAAGAATTACTTATATTTGTATTTCCAATTTAAAAGCATGTCAGTGCAATTATATTTAACAGAAGAGCATCGTTCTATATAGTGTAACCGCAAGTGTGCATCTTAGTTGATGTTCACTTCACACTATCAAAAAAATTGGACTATATTTACTACTGGAGTAATCTTAATCCATTCTTATGCATGTATCTATTTCTAGTATTGTATGTAACTTTCAGAAAATTTTCTTTTTTCTATTCTATATTTTAATTCAGTACAATCCAAGAGTATAATATCTTAATCCAGGAATAGAAAAGTTAACACGGTTTAATTTATTTACGGCAACCATAGACATAATATGCAATATTTTATATCGTACCTTTAGTTGAAGAATATATTAAATTATTTCAAATTTCTTCTTCTTCTTCTTAAAGTGCCCTCTCCTCAATGGAGGTTGGATACTACAATTTTAAACTCTTCTCTATCTTCAGCTGTTCTTATTAGCTGTTCAAAATTTAGCCCTGTCCATTGTCGGATGTTTCTGAGCCACGATAGTCTTTTCCTTCCTAGGCCTCTCTTTCCCTCGATTTTTCCTTTCACTATAAGTTGGGCATATTGGTACTTATTATTTCTCAGTATGTGGCCTAGGTATGATGTCTTTCTAACTTTTACTCTGTTCTCTTTCCTTGCCTATTCTATGCAGCACTTCTTCCTTTGAGGTATGCGATGTCCATGAAATTTTGAGTATTCTCCGGTAGATCCATATTTCAAAGGCCTCCAATTTATTTAGGGTTGATGTTTTAAGGGTTCACGTTTCAACTGCATATAGAAGAGGCGACCAGACGTAGCATTTTGATAAACGTAGTCGAATTTCGAGTTTTATTCGAGAATCACAAAGCAGTTTTTTTATTTTTTCGAAAGATTTTCTGGCCTGTTCTATTCTCGATCTTATTTCTTGATCAGGATTTAGGCTGCTATCGATCCAACATCCCAGGTACTTAAATCTATTGACCTGTTCTAAGATGTGCCCATTTATTGTGCAAGGTTGAGGTACGTTTTGGTTTTTTCAGATTGACATCACTTTGGTTTTTTTAATGTTTATTTTCATACCAAATTGCTCACAGGTCGAGTTGGTCTTGGCGATGAGTCGTTGTAGATCTAAGTCGGAATCCGCACTGTATCATCGGCGTATCTGATACTGTTGATATTTACGCCATTCACCTTGACTCCATCCTTGGAATCCTCCAATGCTTCTTTAAATAGAAACTCGGAGTAAAGATTAAACAGCAGAGGCGACAGAACACATCCTTGTCTAACTCTCCTCCTAATTTCTACTTCTGCGGATGTGGAACCTTCAATCCTAACTCTGGCGTTTTGGTTCCAGTACAAGTTTTTTAAGAATTTGATGTCTTTTCCATCTAAACCGACTTCTTGCAAACGTTCTAATAGTAGGTCGTGTCTTACTCTATCAAATGCTTTTTCGAAGTCTATAAAGCATATAAATATATCTTTCCGTTGGTCGTAGCATTTTTGGGCGAGAACTAGTATTTCAAATTTACTAAATTATTAATCTCTAAAAATTTAAATTACGGTTCTTTCGTAGCTTGTCACAAATTTCTCAATCCGAGTCTGTGTTTCCGTTTAGAATATGGAGATTGCGTGCTGACACAATTCAAAGGCAGCACCTGAGAGTGGGTATTCTGATTGTTATTTATTCTGTGCCTTTAGTCATTATTTTATATGGAAAACATCCCTTTAGAAATGCTTTTTTTGCAAAATAACACCTACTTCTTCTATTCAGCTCTTCATTTGTTATCATACAAAAATATCAAATTTAACAAAGTACAATAAAAAACCTCTTATTCGATATTTTAATATTTTTTCTGTTATATTCATTTTTATAATTACAAAGTCTATAAAATTTTAGGAAAACCTGTACATTGTTACACACACCGAACACATTTAAATCGTATATATAAAGTTGTACTAGAAAACAAGATCATGGTCAAAATGAACGTTAACATAAAATTTACAACACAATTTACTCACATTAGTTTGGGACAATTGTTTTATTTAAAAAAGAAATTAATCGAAACAACATAAGAAATTTATTTATACTTAATAAAATCAGTATATAAAACAATATTTTTTAAATGATTAACAAAATATTGGTGACACTGCTGCAACACTATTTTGTTGTAGTATGGATAGTAGTTTTTCCATTTATGATTAAACTGCGATATTAAATATGTTCTTCATCTCCAAAGAATTTAATGACGGATCGT